AGTTGTCCGAAGACAAGGGAACAATTCAGAAGAGACTGACAGCCGAACAGACCTGACCCCAATCGTGGAGGTCCTCTTGGGTGAGAAGATATCATCCCAGGGAGGATTACGGGGAGCCAGGACATCCCAGGCCGTGAATGTGGTAAGGGTGGGGTAAAGGGGAGGTTTGAAGCGCCACGAACAAAGACCAGGGTCATGACCCATCTGGGACCACCGACAGGGAACTGCCTCCCCATCTATCAACATCGAAGTTGTGGCAGGCAAGTAGGGGAAGCACTCGGAAACATCTAGGTGGCCCCAAAGTGCAGTCTCACCCTGACGTCGCTAGGGAAGAAGGCACCGACCAGAAAGGGGCCGAAGCCTTACAGCACCTACCAGCGACACTTATCAACAGATGGAACTTGAGGAAACTGTAAGAAATTCACCACAATAAATACCCACAAGGGATTGTAACAGTATAATAGATTGCCTTATTTCATCAGTCCCTGGCATATTCCAAAGGGTCATGGAAAACCTCTTAAAGGAGATTCCAGGGGTAATGGTGAGGATTGATGATATCCTCATCACGGGAAAAGGTGATAAGGAACACCTGGCAACACTCAAGAGAGTATTTCAAAAGCTGGAAGAAGCGGGGCTACATTTGAAACAAAAGAAATGCTTTTTCATGAGGCCTGAAGTGTAGTACTTAGGATATCAAATCGACAAGGAGGGAGTTCACCCCATGGCGGATAGTCACAGCTATTGAAAAGGCCCCACAAAACATGTCAGAACTTTGGGCATATCTGGAAATGTTAAATTATTATCATCGGTTCCTTCCAAACCTTTCAGCTCTCTTAGAACCTTTACATCACCTCTTAAGGAAAGGAATCTCATGGAACTGGGGAGGTAGAGAAGAAGAAACCTTCTGAGAATTTAAGAGGCTACTTAAATCATCAGAGCTTTGGGTTCATTTTGATCCCAGCAAGGAATTAATCCTATACTGTGATGTTTCATCCTAAGGAGTAGGGGCTGTGTTGTCCCATAAACTGAACAATCAGGAAGAATAGCCTATTGGATATGCCTCAAGGACACTAAACAAAGCCGAATGGGGTTATTCTCAGTTGGAAAAGGAAAGTTTAGCTATTATATTTGGCCTAAAGAAGTTTCACCAGTATCTGTATGGGAAGGCTTTCACCATCATAACGGACCACAAAAGTTTGGTAGGATTACTGAAGGAAAATAAAGCAGCATCCACTATGGCAGCAGCATGACTATGTGCGGGCCACCTCCCGATCCCGTCCATGCGGCCATGTGTGGGCTAGGAGCGGTTTGCGAACCCGTTTTTGCGCACGCGGGCTGTGGCCAGCAGCCCGGGCACGCGGGGTCGAAGAAAACCGGTGGCGAGCTAGAATTAGTTACGGACACGTAATGGTTGATTAAAAGATTGTTTACTTACACCAAAGATGGTCGTGGTGTAGGCTGGACAGTTTTCCAGGCTCAGTTCCACTTAAGTCCTCGCTAGAGGACTCCGACAATTGACCCCGGAGTGGTTGAAGCTCCGCGGGTTCGGCTCGGTAATTGGCCCCGGAGTGGTTGAAGCTCCGATTGCCCTCTTAAGGAGAAGAAAAAGCTGGGTTCGAAGGGATTAGCAGCGCTTAGAAATCTTCACGCTTTTTCTCCCAAACTTCAATTGCTCTCTCTCTCTCTCCAGCTTGGGCGGAAACCTCCCAAGCCCTTTATACGGCTAGCAAGCCAATTGCTAGCCGCCACGTGTGCATAATTTAGGATTGGCCAATAATGTGGCATGAATCTAAATACAAATGGTGGGAACTCCTTTGCACCATGCATCACTATGATGCAAAAGAAATGCACCATGCAAAGAAGGCTATAAACTGGCGGGAAATACCGTTTTGCACGCAGGTTCTCCTATTGCAGCAGAAAACTCTACCGTGCAAAGGAGCTGCAATTTGGCAGGGACATAATTTAGCGGTGCCGAAGCACACAAAAACAAAAAATCACAACTTTGGGTTGTGACAGACTACAGCAGTGGGCTTTGACCCTAGCTGTGTATGAGTACAGGATTCTTTATAAGGCAGGCTATGACCATGGGAATGCTGACTCCCTGAGCAGACTACCACTACTGGACTCAGCTCCTACAGAAGAGCGCCCCAGGAAGTAGTCTTGCTGCTGGAACACTTGGAACAGACACCAGTGAAGGTTTCTCAGATCAAAATATGGACTAGGCAGGATCCTATCCTGTCTAGGGCAATACGGTACACCTTACAGGGCTAGCCAAAACAGAATCCGGGTAGAGAGCTTCAGCCCGTTTGGACCAGAAGTACCGAACTGAGCGTAGAGGATGGCTGTATTTTGTGGGGCATGCGAATGGTAGTCCCCCCTCAAAGACAACAGAAAGTACTGGCAGAACTACATCCTGGAATTTTCCGAATGAAAGCTTTGACTTGCAGGTATGTGTGGTGGCCACACCTATATAAAGACCTGGAAAAGGTGGTCAAGCACTGCCTCAATGTTAAGTATATCAACAGCCTCCAGCAAAGGCACACTTGCATTCTTGGGAATGGCCAGGACAACCTTGGTTTCATCTGCGTATAAACTATTCTGGTTCCCATTTAGGAAAAATGTTCTTGATCATAATAAATGCTCATTCAAAATGGCTGGAAGTGTACCCCATGAACTCAACAACCTCAGAAGCAACCTGTGACAAACTTCAACAGACTTTTGCCACACATGGATTGCCTGTGGTATTGGTCACAGATAATGCCCCAAATGTCACTAGTCATGGATTTAAGAAGTTCCTTAGTAAGAATGGAATTAAGCACATTCAAACATCACCATACCACCCAGCTTTGAATGGTCTTGCAGAGAGGACCTTCAAAGAAGGGATAAGAAAAATGACCAGAGGAAGTTTGGAGACAAAATTGGCTTGATTCCTTTTAAAATATTGAGTCACACCTCAAACCACCACAAGAGTGAGCCCTGCTCAGTTATTAATGGGAAGGAGGATCAGGACTCATTTGGATTTACTGTATGCCAATATGGAGGAAGAAGTGCAGAAAAAACAGACCCTTCAAAAAACACAACCATGATTATCATGCAAAAGAGAGAGTTTTGGGGGAGTATGATCCTGTCTACACAAAAAATGTCAGTACCTGCCAATCTACTTGCATTCCAGGCAGGATCCAAAAACAAATGGGACCCTTATCTTTTAAAATTTGAGTCAGTAATGGCCAAATGGTGAGACGATGTCAGGACCACATCTGCTTACAAGCCAACCTATCTGAGAAACCGGAGCCATTGCCCGAAAAGGAAGGGTTTTCGGAGGACCCACAATTGGGTAGAATGACTGAGAATTCTGAGCCCAGTAATTTGTAACAAACTCTCCTATCCAGAGGTCAGAGATGCTGGAGACAGACATATACTCCCCCAGCCAGAGGAGAAGCCTGTTCCTGAGGATGGGCATTATCCAGCCACAGAATGGAGAGCTCCTAGTTATTTGAAAGATTATGTCCGGGTTGTAAATTAAGAGGGGATGAATGTAGTAATTAGGCAATTATAGGGTTAAATTGTTAGTCATTATTATGGGATGGAGCTTGAGAGTTAGAACTCCACCCTCTGTTGTTCCAGAGTGACTTTCATCTTCCCAGTTAGGTGTTGTTTTTCCTGAATAAAACAGCCTGTTGTTTTGGGCCTGGAGAAAAAGTAAGTCTCAGTATTCTTTGTTAAGTAAGGAACTTAACAAAACTGTTTTCCAAAAATGAGACATTTTGTATTTGCCTTAAATTTAAGGGAAAAGTAGGAGGCATTTCTTCCCCAACAACAACAAAAAAATCCTTTTTAGTTAGATACAAGTAGGGAAACCTTTTGAGAAAATCTGTTATGAAACAAAATCATTTTAGAAAGGCACCTCAGAGAGGTGCCTGTTCCCTTTTACCATTTTTAATTAGTGGTATCTGGCTTCTCTTCCTTTCCTATCTTCAACCCAATCATCTGATATAAACACGCTACTCCGTCCACCCCCAAAATAAAATAGCACAATTCAAGTCGGCCTTTACCACAAGAAAGACAAACAAGTCCTTGAAACCTAATGATCTGGGAGGTTTCCAAGGGTACCCAAATCTGAAACTCAAAGAATTTTTTTTTTGCTCAAAAGTTCTGCTGCTGTTATTTTCTGCTCTCTCCCCTCCAGTTCTATTTCATCTCAAGTGTATACAGCTGATTTTGAGGGTCTTTTGCATAGACAACACTTTAATACATTATTAATGTCTACTTGGCAGACAGGACAAGTACTTTTTTACCCTGGATTCTTGTCTAAAATTTCCTCTCACTTCTGTGCCTACTGTCATGTAGTATGTTGGGCATCAGTACGCCACAGCTCTTTACCCCAGACGTGGTAGCTGTTCACTAATGTTCTATGGACAGAGTATACAGTAGCTTATGATAGCTGTGAAGTATCTGAAAAGAAAACAACTAAATAAAAGAGATTTTATTATTGCTATAACAATCCCTTGTCTCTTGGGAAAATATTTTCATTGTGGTTCTCTGAAACAGAGTTAATTTTTTGTTTAGAATATGAATTCAGCTAAATTAAATAACAGACTAAATAAACCTCTGAAGTAGTAAATAGGGGAATATTTCCCTTTGTGAATTAATCAGTTGGTATGGTCTGCAAAGCACAAAACCTATTGGAGCAGAGTTTCAGAAGCATACATTGCAAAAGTATGCAAATATTTTTGCATACATCTCACTGGCAAGTGCAGAACTAAATACATAGGCAGTCTCTGACATGCACATGTGAATCTGCAGATTCTGTGCCTTTGTACACATACTTTTTTTAAGTCCTGCATATTGCAACTACCTAAAATTCTCCTGTGAATATGAAGAGTGGCAGCCCTACTGCAGGTGACTAGTTACAGGATCAGAGGACGTGAGATTAAAAAATAAAATGGAAAAGGAGCCAGAAAATTATCATCACAAAACACTGAAAATATTAAAAGACTTACAACTCAAATGCCACTGATGGGTGGAAAGCTTCAGAATCTTCTTAATGAGGAAAAGAAATGATTGCTGCCAAATCTGAAAAAGATAACAGAATATAGTTTATGCAGACAAGTTATTAAGGATAATCCACTTATTTTATCAGTAAAGGTGGCAATTCAAAAAAAAAACTTTAAGATTTTTCATTACTGCTTCACACCAGTATCATGGCTAATTTTTAGCTATCTACATTTAAAACTAGCACGCTCACTGCAAATCATAATTAATTGAAATATGATTTTATTATAATGCTATTTAAGGTCCTTTAACCAGTGTAATCTCCCAGTGGTAGAATAAGACCTTTACATTAGGAGAAGGCAGACAACAACTTGGGCTTGTTCTGCTCTTCCCAGGGTGAAGAGAGTTTCCAAAACTCCAGAAAGCAGGACGAATTTTTCATTACAAATACTGAAAAAGACTTCAGTAAAAAGAAATCTTTTTACTATAAAAAGATTTTATTTTTTGCTCCAAATGATGTGTGGACAAGTCATGCTTTCTGCAACTATATCTATCTGCACTGTTCAGCAAATAAGATTTGTGATACTTTTGAAGTACATGTTTTGTTTGTGAACTGATTCCTCTATTTTCTAGGAACACTTTATTTTTTTGTCAGTTAAGTCAGGTAGTGGCATTTTTTTTGCTGATTGGATAACCTGGGCTTTAAAAAAAAACAGGAGTTGCTTTTTCTGATTGCACATTACCCAAAAATATTCATAAATATTTGATTAATCTATTCTGAAAATAGAGAGCTCTTTTCCAAACAAGCAAGCAAGCCCTTCCACTACAAACACTCCAAGTGATGCTTAATCAAGCTAATATTACCAACAACTTTGCTTTCTATCAGAATTCATAGTGTTATTTATTTGTACTGAAGTGACTCAATGAGGTTTCAATGAGGGCTTAGCACCCTGTTCTAATCATCATAGGGACATGTTAAGAAGATAGTTCCTGCCATAAAGAGCATGTGATTCTAGCAGATAATGAGACACAACAGATGAAGAAAGCAAACAAAATGGGAAAGATAGGAAGAACAAGGTCACAGTGAAATTATTATGTTAACTAGCATAATAAGGAATGCACACCAATTTTTAGCACACCACATGCTTAGCCATTGTTCACAGCTTCATAGGCATTAATGAAGACATGAATTTTATTTTTATGAAGAACTTGCTCAATAACAGATTTGCAAAGTAAATCTAGAAAATGGGTTGCAAATACCAACAAGTCAAACTGGAAGAAGGCTTTTTGCACTAAAATATGTGCTTTTTCTTTTTGTTTCTGTATTCAGCTAGCTGTTGCTAGAAAAGAGAATAATCATCCTTTGGAGTTTTTTCCAGAGATCAGTGTAAAAGTTTTTTATCTTGCTAAAGAACTGTTACAAATTGAGCTTTGGAATCCAAACCAGCACTTCATTACTTTAGACCAGAAACTATATGCCAAGCAGTAGTTCAAACATTTTCAACATATCTAGCTCTGAATCACAGAAGAGGTACTGATGACTGTGAAAGCTTGGCCAGACCTACACATAAAATCTAAATGACCAAATTGAAATAACAGTACATCTTGCACAAGAATGCAAGATCATGGCTGGGACCATGCAAAATAAAGCAATCCCAATTGATTTAATGTTCTGTGCTAGATTATGCCAAATCATCATAGTGTTTGTAATCACCTGAAAGTTTTAATAGCTAGGAAAGAAACCCTCCTGCACAAGAACAGTGGTGGGGGCAAAACTGGATTGTGGAGACAAGACTGCCGCAAAGAAGATCCGTCTTGACTAATGGTTGCAACCCATTAGGCTTAGAGAAAGTGGATCTTGCAGCACCCAATAACAAACCTATGCCATAAGATGATAACAGTCATAATGAAGGCCAGGACAAGAGTGGATGAGGATAGTGAGAGCGCTATCAAGAAGAACAAACAGTTGCTCTGCTAGTGACTGCCACCTACTAGGCACTAAGTGAGATAGGCCTCAACCCTCTACCACACCCAAGCCTAAAAATAAAAGTGATGGTCCCTCTAAAAGAAAACTTGTTGACAGAGACCTGACACACTCATCACATGTGTAGGGTTACTATAGTTCTAGTTTCAAAAAAGAGTACACCTGTGAGGGGGAGGTTGAGAGGGAGTACATGATTGTTGGGGAGGTCAGTGATATGCCCGTGCCCTACCCCTGCCCCTGCCCCTCACTCCCAAACCACAGATCCTCCCCCAGCCCTGCCTCTCACGCCCAACTCACAGTACCCTGCCTCCGACCATGCTGGTGCCCCTCACTCCCAACCTGCAGCCCTTCCCTGTCCCTGCTGATACCTCTCACTCCTGACCTGCAGCCCCCTGCCCCCCCGGCCCTGCTGCCCATGCAGCTCCCTGCTGCCCCTGAAGAGCCCCATCACCCGCTTCCCCTGCCTCCCCACCCTGCTGCAGCCCCAGGGTCCACAGCCATGCACACACGCACACACACAGATTTACCTGCCCGCAGTTGCTGGGGCCTGTGCACAGATCACATGATGTCCCGGCCTCCAATTACCTTCCCTCACTGCCCCCAGCCCCAAGCAGCTCCTTGCTGGGGCAAAACAAGAAGTACAGGAAAAGCAGAGGCACAACAAAATCCAGCATGTTTGCTGATAATTTAAAAAACTACCTGGCTGGAGATGGGAGGACCCAAAGAGGATGTGTCCAGGACAACCCAGATGTATGGTAACCCTACGCATGTGTGTGTCAAACCTAAAAGAGCAAGAGAAGGGCCCAAACTAAGCTGGTATAACCAGAGAAAGCGGGAAACTACATATACATTTCAATTGAACTAGTAACTAAAGAAAACTAAATCTACATTTCAAAGCAGAACCTGTAAGAGGCACACTGAATACAGGAAAAATGTCCTGCACATGAAGAATGCACAGGCATGGATGTTATATGTGCCTTGTTAACTCATCCTCATATTTCTCAAAACAGGCATTTAATGGCTGTCTGAGGTTTTACAACTGTCTCAATCATTCAATGTCTGTCTGGGGTTATGTAAATAGACCATCACTGGTACAGGCTATTGCAAATTTGCCCCATTGTTAAACACATACCCAGAGATAGGTCCTGTAACCAATGCCCCTAGGTATCCCGTTTAGCCAATCAAGACACATCACATTTGATTGACTTACAACTTCTAGACTGGTCAGAAAATGCAAAAAAATAAGTCTCACACCTAGACAATCCAAAAAAACAGGATTCAAATAGTTAAATATTGTAATGTACAGTAATAGTCCCCCCTTGTGTCCTGTTTTGTTCAGACTTTAATCGACCAACCATCAAGAAAAAAATGCTTTGACGCTATATAATTAAAAAGTATGGGTAGGGACAGCCATTCAAAAAGCCCAAGCCTGAATCGATTCACTCTTTGCAGGTTAGTCTAAACTGTGCATCGTAACCTAATTAATAACTGGACAGACATTCTCTGTTAAATCAGGAAATGCAGACACATGCCTGCAGTGGTTCAAGCCAGAAGCTGGGGGGTGCTAGAGCATGCCTGCCTACTACTGCCAAAAGGGAGGGAATGCCCTCCAAGGCTCTCACCCTTCCTCTGCTGCAGCAGAGAGGGCATGATACCAGCCAGGGCTAGCACAACACACGGGATGCCAGCCACCAGCTTGGGGGAGAGGGGAGGCAGCTGCTGCTAGACTGAGGAGTGGGGATGCGGAAAATATATTTTCTCTGAAGCAAGCATGTATTAAACACAGCCATTTGCAGAGCATACAACAGGGTGTGCGGGCCCTTTCCCGATCCCACCTGGGTCGCCATGTACGAGTTCTCTCCCGATCCCATCCTCGTCGCCATGTGCGAGCCAGGGGCAAGCCGGGCCCGTCTTTGCACACGCGGGCTGTGGCCAGCAGCCCAGGCACACGGGGTCGGAGAGGACCGGTGGCGAGCTAGAATTAGTCACGGACGCGTAATGGTTGATTTAAAAATTGTTTACTTACACCAAAGATGGTCATGGTGTAGGCTGGACAGTTTCCAGGTTCAGCTCCGCTTAAATCCTCGTTAGAGGACTACGACAATTCGTTCTTTGCCCCGGAGTTATTGAAACTCCGCGGGTTCGGTAGTTTCTCTGCCCCGGAGTTATTGAAACTCTGCGGGTTTGGTAGTTTCTTGTACAGGAAGGGATACGTCTAGGAATTTATCAGCGACGGGGAGAGGCTAGAGGCTGTTCGTTCTTTTCCCCGGAGTTGTTGAAGCTCTGCGGGTTCGGTTATCAGGCCTCTATTGCCTTTTAAGAAAAGCGTTGGGTCCGTAAGGATCCGCAGCGCTTAGAGATCTTCACGCTCTCCCTCTCGAACTCCAATTGCTCTCTCTCCAACTTGGGCGGAAACCACCCAAGCTCTTTATACAGCTAGCAAGCCAATCGCTAGCCGCCACGTGTGCATGTATTAGAATCGGCCAATAATGTGGCACCAATTAGAATACAAATGGCGGGAACTCTTTGCACCGAGCACTTCCTAGATGCAAAAGAAATGCACCATGCAAAGAAAGCTACAAATTTGGCAGGAATACTCCGTTGCACCGGGGTTTTCCTCTGCAGCAGAAAACTCCAACGTGCAAAGAAGCTGCAATTTAGTGGGAAAATAATTTAGCAGTGCCGAACCACACACAAACAAAAAATCACAACTTTGGGTTGTGACACAGGGAACTACCAAAGATCTTTGCCAAAGCTAAGATACAGCTCAGTAAAACACAGCATATACAACTTAGTCCAACTTAAAATGTAAACCAGGAAGATAAGAATTAGTTTTACTAAGCCTGAGGGCAGAGTGTCTCCTTGGGTGACCAGACAAGGTTTCAGACAAGGTTCCTTGGGTGAATTTGATATCTTTTATTAGGCCAACCCAAATAGTTGGAGAATAGTTATTAAGCAAGCTTTCGGGTTCAAAAACCCTTTGTCAGGCTAAGGAAGTTTCAGCAGTTAGTGTGTGCTCTTACACCCCTCCTTACAACCAAGCATTCAGAAAGGCTTTGTTTAGGTATTCACACCTTTTACACATTCTGCTTTATAA